GCTGCTTCTCCAGACACCTGCTGCACACAAATCTCCATTTCCTCTCCACGCACAAAACACTGTTTGTTGGTGTTGTTTAATTATGCCTTTGTGAAACAGATGTTGCTGATTGTTTCACTGGTAGATTAGAACACTCAGCAGTTAATCTGTGCTAATAACAACAAACATTTTAACAGCTTTGCTAAACTTGGCCTACACCTGAGAGGCTTATGGTTGTGTATGTGTGTTAAAAGTCCTTACCGGAAAAAGTCAGTTTATTTGGTGATCACTTTTCCTTGTATATTTTCTCTCTTGGTGTATTTTAGGACCATGTGTAGATATATTTTTTATATTTTGAAGGCAGTTAAGCATCATTCTCCCTCAAATTAAAGTAACTTTCTGGATGTTAATGTACTTTTTTTGCAATTTGCAATTCAAAATTTGCAAAAACAATTCTCATAATATTTTCATAACTGTAATGTAGTTAGATTACATATGACACATTTTTACATTACTGTAATGACAATTGTAAATAAATTTGCTTAACTGTCATAAAAACAACATATATAATAATGATATAATAATAGATAACATTTCACATTCTGGATTTATTTTTATTATTATGTAAATATTAAAATTATTTTCTTTTTTATGTAATATATGATTTTTATTTAAATTGTATATATATATATCTTTGGTTTGAAGTATATATATATATATGTGTATATACAGTATGTACACAAACACACACACACACACACACACACACACACACACACACACACATACATCCTTCATTGCTATTAAAGTGAAATAACTGAACATAAATATAGGTGCCTGAGAAAAATGCTAATTTTAGAAGAAAATTTCAGACAGCACTATATATATATTTTGACAACAACTGAAATCTTTGCTAAACTAGTTTGATTGTTACTTTGCTAAATTAATTTGACTTTAATTTGACAATAATAGAAATCTCTAATAAATTAGTTTAATTATTTGTGTTGGTTGGCTGGTGGCACATTGACTGAACCACTTCAGAAATGAATAGATAACAGGCTGTGATCAAGCTAAATCTGCATGAAAGAGAGAATGTGTCATTAACATTTCTAGACACAGGTCAAAAAAAAAAGAAAAAAAGATTCTGGACACGTACACAGTTTTAAAGAGTTTGTTTCTGTCTATGTTTGTGCTGATATGGGTCTCTAAGGGCTCATGATCATGTCATTTGCGAGACCTTTCTGTTTGACTCAAGCAGATAACAGCCCGAGGCCTCTGTGCATTAGAGACGGATCGGCTAAATCCTTATTTGGCAACACACACACACAAGCACACAGCCGTACGCACCTTGTCATGTAGTCATCAATTTAAACCAAAGTGCTTGAGGCTGTTTTGAAAAGGGGCAGTGCTGAGCACAGCGCATCTGTGGCAATGTCTCTCTCTAACCTGATCAGATTCATGGACATCCAAACAGCATTTTCATCCCACTCTCAGGTGTCTCCTATGGGGCAGGACTCTCTGTAAACACTTGCCAAGATTAGGCAACTTAATCTACATTCTCACTAAATTAGCAAGAAGCAAAATCAATCCCATGGCTGCAAAAGTCCACTTCGACAAGGGATTCAATTAATCATTGGACCAAGCCAATCGAAGGCAGTGTCTGCCGTTCAGCTCTGTTTGTGCTTTAAGCTAATAGATATTGAAAGAGATTGCACTGAAATGAAATAAATATACTCACATAATCCAAAATTACCAAGCGCCAAATGCAAGAAAAATCAGCTTTGGAGAGTGAACTTGCAAAATCTCAGTATAATAATGGCTCTTGTTGATATGGTCTATCAAAAAACCCTCTTTTATTTGCTGCTGCACCAGATATTTTTTAATTAAGCACCACAATGTAAAGTGAAAATACAAGGAAGAGAGACTATTCTGAACATTTTTAACATTCAAGTACAAAATCAGCTAAATTAATTTGCAATAAGAACAAGAAATACAGATTATATATATATATGAAGAGTTCAGATGCAAAAGCCTTTAAATGCCATCTGAAATTTTCGTCTAAAATGAGCATTTTTATCAGGCTCCTATATTTATGTTCAGTTATTTCACTGTAATTGCATAGAAAAGGACCTATACATTGCCATTAGAGTAAAATTACTGAACCTAAACATAGAAGCCTGATAAAAATGCTAATTTTAGATGAAAATTTCAGATGGCACTTAGAGGCTTTTGCATCTGAACTCTTCATACATATATATATATATATATATATATATATATATATATATAATAACTGGCAATGAGTTTTTCACATCGCTGTGGTGGAATTTTGGCCCACTCTTCTTTGCAGAATTGTTTTAATTCAGCCACATTGGAGGGTTTTCGAGCATGAATGGACTGTTTAAGGTCTCAATTGGATTTAAGTCCGGACTTTGATTTGGCCAATCCAAAACCTTAATTTTGTTTTTCTTGAGCCATTCAGAGGTGGACTTGCTGGTGTGTTTGGGATCACCATGCTGCATAATCCAAGTGCGCTTGAGCTTGAGGTCACAAACTGATGGCCAGACATTCTCCTTCAGGATTTTCTGACAGAGTGCAGGATTCATGGTTCCATCAATTATGGCAAGTCATCCAGGTCCTGAAGCTGCAAAGCAGCCCCAGACCAGCACGCGGCCTCCACCACGTTTGACTGTTGGTATGATGTTCTTTTTATGAAATGCTGTGTTGGTTTTATGCCAGATGTAAAGGGACACACACCTTCCAAAAAGTTCAACTTTTGTTGCATCAGTCCACAGAATATTTGCCCAAAAGTCTTGAGGATAATCAAGATATTTGTTGGCAAATGTGAGACAAGCCATTGTGTTCTTTTTGGCCAGCAATGGCTTTTGCCTTGGAACTCTCCCATGGATGATGTTTTTGCCCAGTCTCTTTCTTATTGTTGAATCATGAGCACTGACCTTAACTGAGGCAAGTGAGGCCTGCAGTTCTTTAGATGTTGTTCTGGGTTCTTTTATGACCTCCTGGATGAGTCGTCATTGCGCTCTTGGAGTAATTTTGGTAGGCCGGCCACTCCTGGGAGGGTTCACCACTGTTACAAGTTTTCTCCATTTGTGGATAATGGCTCTGACCGTGGTTCGCTGGAGTCCCAAAGCCTTAGAAATGGCTTTATAACCCTTTCCAGATTGATACGTCAACTATTTTGTTTCTCATCTGTTCTTGAATTTCTTTAGATCGTGGCATGATGTGTTGCTCTTTAAGCATAATTAACTTTGTCAGACAGATTCTATTTAAGTGATTTCTTGATTCAACAGGTCTGGCAGTTATCAGGCCTGGGTGTGGCTAGTAACATTTAACTCAGCTTTCTAAAATAATGTGGTTAATCACAGTTCTTTCATGATTTAACGGGGGGACAATTAATTTTTCACGTAGGGCCAGGTAGGTTTGGACAGGTTTTTTCCCTTAATAAATGAAATCATCATTTAAACTTGCAGTATCTTTGTGTAAAATTTAAATTTGTTTGATGATCTGAATCTTTTAAGTGTGACAACCCCCCCCCCCCAAAAAAAAAAAAAAAACAGGAAGGGGGCATATATATATATTGTTGATATGGTCTATCAAAAAACTCACACTTGAGTGTAAACTTAATAAATATAGCATATACTGTATATGCTTTTACTATTATTAAGGCTGCATTTATTTGATCAAAAATACAGTAAAAACAGTTATAATGTTAAATATTATTAGAATTTAAAATAGCTGTTTTCTGTATAGGTTTAAAATTGGTTCCTAATAATTGTTCCTGTGATGACAAAACTGAATTTTCAGCAGCGATTTCTTCACATTATTCTTCCGAAATCATTCTAATATACTGATTTGGTACTTAAGAAACATATCTTAATACTACCAGTGTTAAAAAACAATATTTTTTCCCCTGGATATTTGATTAATAGAAAGCAATCTTTTGTAATATTAAATGTATTTACTGTGACTTTTGATCAATTTAATGTGTCCTTGAATACAAGTCTTCATTTCTTGGTACAGTTATGTTAGTGTTGTTGTTTTTAAAAACCGATAAAATAGGCTTATTGTTTTAGAGCACAAATGAGACTGAACTCACAGGCCCAGTGCAGGTAAGACCGTCGTCATCCGCCACCTCACACTGCGCATCGCACTCCAGACACACTGAACCATTTGCGAACTCGCGTACATCCCTATAAAACAGAAAGAGAAAGGGAACAAAGACAAACATGAGGAAACATAACACGCTACAATGACATATAATTACAACTTCAGAACACTCAAGGTTCAGATGGAAAAAAAACAGCATGTCAATTTTCAAAGTTCTTCCAGGAATTCCTACCCAAGGATCTATTCTAGACTATTCAATCACTAGCCTTTTAAAGTCAAGACAACTTTCCATTTTCAGACCAGATATTGTCGGTCATTAAATACACTTCAGAATTCAGGACTTGAATGAGGAAAGTCTGAATCACAGGCAGTAAAAGAAGAGCCATCACACAGAACAGACTGGTAGATTGTGAAAGCGTAGCCGAAGGGAATTCAGCGCCCGAGGCACTGCAAGGCCGTAGGGAGGCAACAGTGGAATCTAACACATCCGCCAGGTGTTTACAGCACTTCTCAGATGGCTGCCACAGCTGGCAAACACAGTTACTATTGACCAAAAGCAAACAGTCAGCCTTCACCACCTATCGAGGTGACAATTCATCAAGCACATTCAGGGACACCTCAAAGCACCACACTGAGGAAATCAGCCAGGGACCTCTGAAACAAATGATCACAAAATGGTTCAATACGGGCAAACACAGTCGCTTCCCAGTCCCTTCACTCCTCTGAAGACTGTAGTGACATTTTAGAAGCTGACATCCATTGGTGTGACAAGTGGAGGATGGTGGCTTAGCAAGAGAGAAAAATATGTATAGCAAAGGCGATTTTTTTTATTGCTATTGACGTGTTACCTCAATGAGTGCTACCTTAAGTGACATTTAATTATTCTTTATCTAAAAGGCACAGCACATTTTAAACAGACTGTGAGGAAAGCTTGTTGAAGATCCTCTTATCATTAAAGGACTTTTCTTTTTCCCTTTACGTAAACGTTAACTTCACAGGCTCTGTGGTGTTTGCATGTTTGGTCTCCACCACATGTTTCCTGGTTCACTCGGTGTTCTCTTAAAAATCCAACATGAAATGTATTAATACTACTATAAAGAAAAAATATTAACATGACTGGCTGAATTTTGTAGATTCATAAACAACAGCAGAAGTGTGATTCACAAGCTAAATACAAAAGATACACTACCGGTCAAAAGTTTGGGGTCAGAATGATATATATATATATTATATATATATATATTATATCTTTAAAATCGTTTATGCTCACCAATGCCGCATTTTAAAATACAGTAAAATAGTAACACTTTGAAGAATTATTACAATAATATACAAAATTGTTTTCTTTTAATACATTTTAAAATATAATTTATTCTTGGGATGGTAAAGCTGATTTTTTAGCAGTCATTATTTCTCGAGTCTTGTTACATGATTCTTCAGAAATCATGTAACATGCTAATTTGATGTTCAATTTATTATGTCATTGTTGAAAACACTTGTGCTGCTTAATATTTTTGTTGAAATGGAGATATAATTTTTTCAAGATTCTTTGATGAATAGAAAGTTGAAAAGAACAGCATTTATTTTGAAATAGAAATCCTTTGTAACATTCTAAATGTCCCTTTTGATCAATTTAATGCATCCTTGCTGAATAAAAGTTTACATTTCAGTATAAAAGTATAAAAATTGACTGACCCCAAACTCTAGAATCATAATGACCTCCCTAATATCATCTGACACTGAAAACTGTGCTCTAGCAATTTCACAGGGCCATTTTCACTTCAAATGCAATGCATTTGTGTGATTGGATCACAAAGCCAGCTGGAATTGATTTACCTGTATTTAGACCTAGCCACTTGTGATCCAATACCTGAGACCAGCTGCGCAGGCCACACAACAATAACAGTCATAATCATCTTCAAAAACTTTCAGATATAGCTCAAACACACCACAGTAGGTCTCTTCATTTTTTTGGGTTGTTTGTTCCCAAATACAGAGTGAATCATCTTGTGTGAACAGCGAGTGTGACCGCAGAGGTCGACAACCAGTGGAGAGACAGAGAAAACACAGACTCTGAGATCACCCTGCAAAAACAGATATATACACACACACACACACACACACAAACAAACAGCACATATATTGGAGCACTGGGTGACGCGTGTGGGATGGGTGAGTAGGCAGACGTGACAGTGCGAGACAGTGAAGCGTCTGTGGCCGTGCCGCACCTCTCCAAACCCGCCTCCCGCTTCTCGACCACATAGGGCCTGGTGAGCAGCTTGGGCTTAGAGCCGGCCAGTCTGCAAGGCAAAAGAATCATGTGGGACGATTGCACGGTGCACGATCCCTGGTGCTAATTCACTTTCAACCAACATGGATATGGCACACATTTAAAAAACAGGCACCCATCCATGTTTGTCCTAGTTAACACACAAAGGATGAGCTTCCTTTTTAAATGGGCAGATGCTGTTGTTTTAGATTGTGAAAATGGATGCCTTTTGTTTATTGTCTTGTTTTAGCTCTGGGCAAAGGAGAAAATAAATTTCACTGCTTCGCTTAGTCAAATCAATCAAAAGCTGATATTCGTCTTTCCCTTGGAGCAGTATGCAAGCACACAACAAATAAAGAGGGAACTCAAAACCAATCTGTAAATTACCTTCTTCACTGCACTGATCAACACCTTTAGTGTTTACTTATTCCAATTCCCTAAACCAACAGAAAGAGCTTATCAATGCCAAACCATTTTTTGAGGAATTAGACAAACAATCGCAACCAAAAATAATTTTCATGCTGGTTTGGTACTGTTGATTTTCTGGTAAAGATGGAAGCCTTGCTGGTTAAGCTAGTTAAGCAGCCTGGCAGGAACATCAGCGCACCACACAACTTTCTGAATCTACAGCGCCTCGGAAAACAAAATTATTAGTTTTGTTGTTTAGGAATTTATGATGAGATAAAGACACTGGGTACCATGAAACAACACAAAGACAATACATAAATAAATACACTGTCAATATATTACTGGCTGCACATGAAACAAGAAAGGACAACAAGAAAAGACAGACTTCCAAAATATGCTTTCTAGAGTGCTTTGGCACACTTTACAAATCCACCCACTCTACTTTCATATGAGATGAGTCAAACACTGTATATCTACAGCATCTGTGCTTTTATTAAATAGTTTTTTGTTAAATTAAGGTTAAACTTACTCTACTGCACATTTTTCCTACTTTTTTAAATGCCTTTAAAGGGATAGCTCACTATTTAAAGTTCAAATTCTGTCATTTATTCACTCTCATGTCGTTCCAAACCTGTCTGACTTTCTTTTCTTCAAAAAGAAGATATAGAACTGTTTTTGTCTATACAATGAAAGTCAATGGGGTTCAAAACAATACTGGACCCCATTGTCTTTCAGTGTATGGACAAAACGCGATAAGACATTTTTTGAAACACTTTTTTAGTGTTTCACAGAATAAAGTAAGTGAATGACATAAAGGTATGATAAATGTGTCTTCTAGTAGACTAGTGAGTTTGAAAAGTCTGTTTTACGAGTTTATTTTCTAAAAGTCCACAGGGTCAAAAGTGCCCATAGTTCAGGAAACGGTCATATGTGTGTGTGTGTGTGTGTGTCTGTTTATCTGCTCTAAATCTTTGTGCTTTTGTGAAAACAAAACCAAGGCTTTACTCGGTTCTTCATTCTGTCACGGTGCTCCACACACCGCTGCATTTGGTGTAGACGTCATATGAGGTAGGAGATGTACCCAGCTCATCTAGCTCACCCAAACACTGTTATTTGTTTTCCAGCTCAACCGAGCTTACGTTCCATCATTGCAACCTGCTCTCCAAAGCCAGGGGACGTGCTGCTCTACTGTTTTGTTATTGTTTGTCTAGAGGATGGAGACATGAATCTGGGTGAAATCCCTGGAGAACACAGCTAGCTATAGTTCTATCATAGGAATACACATCTTCTACAAGCGAACATTAATAAACAATGTCATGAAGTGTATTCAAATGATTCTACAACATAGCTTGGGTGCACCTGTAATACTTGAAATTTGTAGATGTATGTAGTAAAACTCTTGTACAAATAATGTGTTTAATATTAAATAACTGTGGGAGTGTGGCATTTAACAACTTACCCTTCGTGCAGGTTGCAGGATTCGACACAGGTACGTCCCCTGCTGAAGAACCGACAGGACAGGCACTGGTCGGGCCCCGGACCCCAGCAACCAGCATCAGAGCACAGCGGGTCACATACCATATGATCCAAAACTGCAAAAAATATGATCATTAATGCAGGAGCATTTATGCCAGTAAATAACTAACTTTCTCAGTTTCCTAACATCTTGCATCTGTCAAAAATGGCAAATATATATATATAATGTATATACATATATATAATGTACTATATATAATGTTACAAAGGGTTTCTGTTTCAAATATATGCTGTTCTTTGTAACTTTTTTATTTATCAAAAAATCCTTAAAGAAAATGTATCACTGTGATTCCACAAAAATATTAAACCAAATCAACATATTAGAATGATTTCTGAAGAATCATGTGATACTAAAGACTGGAGTAATAATGGCTGTTGAAAATTAAGAAATTACATTTTAAAATATTCTAAAATATATTAAATTTCAATTGTAATATTTTTTTATAGACTTTAATAATTATTTATATAATTGTTTTTTATATCATTTTAAATTTATTTTACATATTTTTATGTATTTACATATTTACAGCAATAGATTATATACCAATATATTTTAAATTATGCTGTGCAAATAGTGTAATTGTGTGTGATTGCACTAATTTACCATTTTTCTAACAAAACATCACCTGTTCCAAGGTGTCACAATGAAAAACTAATTTCTGTCCATAGCTGCATTTCAATCTACTGCACATTTGTCTCAGAATGTTACTGTCAGTTCATCCCTGGGAAACATCCAGTTGATAGAAAGAAAAGATCCTTTGCAAAACCGTGATTGAACACAATGTACACGCCATCTGTGAAAAATGCTACTTGTCCGGTTATAGATTTATTACGCTTGTAAGAAGCTGGCTGTATATGAACTGCTGTATTTCAATTTGAAATGAGGACAGAATGGTCCAGGCGCCCACCCACTGAGGCACTGGATTGTGCAGCAGCTGGGAGAGTTTTAAAATACTGCTGACACAACCTCAGCATGTCTCACAGACGTCCTCTTCAACTTCTGAAACTATGAGAATTTCATCACCAAAGAGCATACAGAGGGTCAAACGTAAGTAAACTTGTGAGCATGTGAACAAAAAGTCAGATGTTCTTGCTTCCATTGAAGCTCAGAATGCTCTTAGGAACACCTCAAATCATGCTGGATTTTACAGCAAAAACTTGTGTTCTTGCTGAACTACAGTGGGGGAAAAAAGTATTTAGTCAGCCACCAATTGTGCAAGTTCTCCCACTTAAAAAGATGAGAGAGGCCTGTAATTTTCATCATAGGTTATACCTCAACTATGAGAGACAAAATGAGAAAAAAAATCCAGAAAATCACATTGTAGGATTTTTAAAGAATTTATTTGCAAATTATGGTGGAAAATAAGTATTTGGTCAATAACAAAATTTAATCTCAATACTTTGTTATATACCCTTTGTTGGCAATGACAGAGGTCAAACGTTATAATATAATATCATATAATATAATATAGTAATATAATATAATTAATAGTTCATTTTTTTAAAGTGGCGTTTCTCGGTTTTCATATATATATATATATATGGGCTGGGACTATAAATCGAATCATCGCGATTTGTGGATCGATTCTGAGATTTTCGGGAATGCATCGTGATTGTCTCTCGAATCGATTCTGAGCTTAGTTTTTAACAGCAGATAGCGCTCTAGGCTAGTTTTTAACTGCACACTCAAATGCTCATGAAAAAGAGCCCTTGTGCGTTCGGCTGAGGCTGCATCCACAAACTTAAGCAGCTGACTTGCTGCCTCGCTGCCGTATGAGGCAATGACTTTGCAGGCAGCGTTTTTGCACGAAGGCACCTCATGAAACTGATTTCGGACAGGCTTCTGAGGCAGCGTAACGTTTTAATGATCTACAATAAAATAGAACGAGTTTTTGTGATAACTAAACAAATATTTAATGACTATAATACTGATTTCTCACTAGAAATAACATCAAAAGTGCAAAAAGTTAGTCAGAAATATACATTTACACACAAACTGACCACCAAACGCAACTTTCAGATGCCATCTTTATTTTTTAGCTCAACCGTCATGGAATGGAACGCACAGGATTGTGGGATATCAAAGGCAGCGAAGGATACATCTATGCTGCCTTCAAAATTCGATCAGAAGAAGGTACCTCCGGAGACAGTAAGTAAAGCAGAATTTGGATTCGGACGTGCCTTTATGCCTTCCTGCCTTGGAATGCTGCCTCCGAAGGCAGAATTTTAGAGTTTTTGGATGCAGCATGAGTAAGTGGTTAAATGTACTTGCACATCGGCTTTTATTCTTTTATGAGGCGAGCTTAATGTCAACACAGCCCACTGTGAACATCCTTGTAATTCGCTTCAACGTTTTCGAACTTTATAAATGATTATTTTAGGTTCAAATGGTGCATGTGTAAGAAACTGGAAGCAAGCAGAATATGGCTATTTCTAAAGCACGCAGTGCCATCTGCTGTTAAAAACTAAGCTCAGAATCGATTCAAGAGAGAATTGCGATGCCTTCAGAAAATCTCAGAATCGATGCAGAATCATTTATCGATTCGCGATGCCTTGATTTGTTTTCATATATATATATATATATATATATATATATATATATATATATATATATATATATATATATATATATATTGTA